GGCTTGGGGTGGGGGTAAAAGTTCAAGGACAGGGTCTCCTCCCTTCTGGGCCCCGTTGGCTCTGCCCAAGACAAAGTTCTCCTTGGGGCTGGGAAAGTTTGTCAACAAAACGTGGAACTTGATTTCACAATCCTATTTGGCTGGCAGATGGCTGTTGGAGACTGCTCTATGGGGCCTTATTTTTAGTTTCTGGATATTTTACTGTATTTGGTGATTTTTTTAAAACTGGGGCAAAAACACTGCCTGGCTTCATTTGCTATGTGCCTGGTATTGGGACACAGCCAGAATTGTTCAGGAAAGGAAAGTGGGTGGAAGGGGGGCTGACTGGGCTGGGTTGGGGGTGGGGTGGTCAATGGTCAGGCTGAGGCTCTCAGTGGGGTGGAATTTTCAAAGTGACTTAGTGTGGTGGCTCTCAAGAGCTGGCCCCATGATTCAGCAGGTCTGGTCCAAAGTTCACCTCCCCTTCCACCTCCCCTTCCCTAAAACCACTCTCCTCCACCACCAGTCCCAGAGCTGGCCCCACCTATCAGCAGTGAGCATTAGCTTCTGTTTGCAGACTCAGAAATTCTACAGAAGAGACGGCAATGAGCAAGTCAGCCCTGACCTCGCCCCCCTCAGGGGCCACTGGAGCCTGGAGAGCCCTCTACCACCCCACACCTGAACTTGGCAATGGGGGGTTGCAGTAGCTTAGAATTTCTCAGCTGAAAGGGCCAAGCAGCCCCGTTCCATCTGGCCTAGAGAAGGCTAGTGGAGATCTTATGAGTCATTCTTAACAATATCAGCTAGCGACCTACCTGTTGAGAAGGGCTTGCTTTAGAAGCAGTTTGATTTTGAGCTCAAGGGCTGAAGCCTCCTTAGACCTGTAGAATTCTCTCTATCCTCCAGTCACATCTTCTTGTGCACTGACTTCATTCCTGCGGCTCCCCGCAGTGGCAAAATGGCAGCAACAGCTCAGGATTCTAATTTAGTGGGGCGAGGGGGTCTTCCCAGCATTCCCAGCACAGTTCTTGAGCTTCATTGGCTGTGATGGAACCAGGGGCCCTCCTCAACCAATAACGCTGGCCATGGGGCGTCAACACACCGGTTGACTTAGGCTGGTCATTGGAGGTGTGGAGGCAGCCCAAGACCTCATCAGCAAGGAATGAGAGGGGGACCCTGGAGGGCAAATGGAGCGGTCAGGCTTTTACCGCTAGGTTCTGTGGCTACCACACGTGGCCTTGATTGTGCTAATCACTAGGGCACGCTGCCTAGTTGTGGTGTGGGCGTGCGTAAGGGTGCACACCTGAGCCTGGAGGCTGGGGATTGAGGGTGGCATCACTTAGCAGCAGGAATGGTTCGGGCAGAACCCCTACCAGAGGGCGAGTGACTACAGAGAGGCAGGACCACTAGACAATGCCAGAGAGAGCCCAAGGAGGCCTAAAGAGATGCCGGGGGCCACCAGCCTCCTGCCCCCCCTTCTGCCTCCCTGCTTTGCCAGCCCACAGGATGCCCATAATTGATGTAGAAAGATCAGAAAAGCCTGGAAAAGTCACTGAGGGCTCCGGACTCTCTTTTACTGGGTAGACAGAGGACCTGCCCTGTGTCTGTGTCTGCTGGTCACCAGACCCCTAGGGAGATGGACCGTCCCAGGGCATAGCTCCTCTCTGAATGTGCCTGCCACAGAAAGGGGGGCAGCCAGGGAAAGTGCTCGAAAAGGACATTATAGATACTTAGCAGGCTTGGGAAGGCGCCCCAGTCCCTAGCGTTGAGCCTGCTTCTTCTTGCTTTGTTCACAGCTCTTCAGGAAACCTGTGTCCTCCTTCTACCCCTTGAGAGATGGTCCCACCCATCCTGTGCGGTGGTCACTGCCCGCCCCAGTCCCACTGCACCCCCCAGGCTGGGCAGCCCCTGCTCCCTTCTACTCCAGATGTCTGTGTTTATGTTTATAGACACTGAATACAGTCCTTTTATAACTGTATCTTTTAGTGTCTGGAAAGATGCTCTGTGGGGGCAGTTTTGCATGAGTCTAGGTGATAAAACAGGACACATTGTCATTGAGTCCCCCACAGCCAGGCCAGTATTCTGTGGGTGCACTTAGTTTCTTGATAGATTCAGTTTCCACGTGGAAAAACCATGAGGAGAATAAAGAAAGTGTACGAAAGTGTTTGGGGGGGACTCTAAAAAAGTCGCTTCCCTGGGTACCTGAGGGCAGGAAATCATAGAGGAGCAGATGTGTGGAGAGGTCGCCCCCTGGTGGTCGGAGAGAAGCACAGCTCTTGGAACCACAGGCAACAGCTTTTACAGTAAAACCTCACGTGGAGGAGGAAAAAAGCAGCCATGGAGCTTCTAAATCACACCTGGCAAAGTGCCTGGACAGAAGTACTTAGGAGCACCAGTGAAGTGTCTGGAAAGGTGCTCTGGAAAGTTGTGCAGCAGAGCACGACATTGTGGGCTTCATGTTTCCGAGATGGTGCCATTAAGGTCTGAGTGAATAAGACACACCTGGCACACAGGTCGGCCTGGGCTCCCTCTCTGCAGGTCAGAGGGCTGGATGTGTAGCTGATAGGTTGCCTGCTGTAGCCTGGCCCGCACAGACTGCACCTCCTTACCAGTGACCCCCAAATGGGCCTTGGGGTTTCCCCAAGAAAACCGGCACCTCCCCAAATTCATTTCCAATACCTGGAAACTTTTCTCTGGTCGTTTAATGACTCACTCTTCTGTAGAACGGGAGAAAAAACAAACAAGTGGAATAGAAAGGAAGGATGATAATATTTATTAAGAGGCTAGTAAATATTCGTACTTAGTCATCATAAAAATCCTGTCAAGAGATTGTTTTTCTGCTCATTTCAGATAAGGAAACATTCCACTTCAGCAAGGCAAATTGACATGCTTAATATGAAACAGAAACTTCTAGAACAGAAGCATGGGCCCTATGCCCTCGGTATCAGGACCTTGGAGGCAGAGCACTAGGAACTTAGGGGGCCGTGTAGGGACACAGCACCTTTCTACTGTCAGGGCCCGGAGGACGGGGAGGTGATTTAGGTGGGAAGCCTCTCTCAACTCTCACTGCACCCCCAGGCTGGGCAGCCCTGCTCCCTTCTGCCCCAGATGTCTGCGTTTATGTCTATAAACACATTAAATACAGTCATTTTATAACTGCATCTTTTAATTCCATTACTGGAAGCCCTGTGAATCTGGCTTTGGAGGCTGCTGTTCCCGCTAAATCTCACTTCTGGTGTGCTGTTTATTTGGTCATTTCTTACTGAAATCTGCTATATTTCTTACGACTTTACAGTGGGTCACTATAAATCTCCAAGTATGTTTTCTGTGTGGTTTTGGGTTATGAACTCACATAAGATCCAGCTTATTGTTTGGGTGAAAATTTCCACTCTGTTTTAGCCGCAACTTGACATAATCAATTTTGCTTGCAGTTTGCTGGGTGAGGAGAAGCTGGAGGGGATAGGTGGGCTTGTGTCTACTTGTAATTCTTTGGGACCCCAGTTTTCTGGAGGAAGGATTTTCTAACAGGCTCCCCTCTGGGGTGAGCTCAGGCTACATGACATATACTTCGGGCTTGGAAAGATTTGAAAGCAGAGTTAATAAAACTCACCTGTCCCAGGAAATCCTTTTAGGTCTCTGCTTATCTCTGAATTTCCACTTCCAGCTGGTTTCTGGTCCAAGAATGCTTTACCTTTTTGCCAGTTAAATGAAGTTTCTAAGAAAATATTTTCTATTTTACTTGAGATTTGTAATTGTATTCAATGGAGGTAGTATTCAAATACCTACATACTCCAGTATGGGCACTGAAGCGCCCACATATTTTTATGTTAAACCTTGCATTTCTGTAATATATAAATCACAACATACATTGTTAAAATAACTTCACTACGCTTCGGGTTCTTACATCTTTGTTTATAATGTTTCTTACTCATACTATCAGTGACTGAGTTTTAAGCTTACTTTTTTTTTAATTGAGGTAGCGTTGGTTTGCATATTCGTCCGTCTTTTTGGGAGTGGAGGGTCCCCCCCAGGTGTTGTCATACCCATAGTCTACTACCTCCCTGCTTTGCTCTCACTCCCTCCTCTCCCCTCCTCTTCCCTCCTCTCCTCCTGTCCTCAGCTCTAGAATCAGCTTTCAAGGATTAATTTTTTTTTTAGTTTTATATGACCCTTTGTTTAGTTTCTCTATATTTCACGTACAAGTGACACATTCCATCATTTGTCTTTCTTCTTCTGACTTATTTCACTCATACTTCCTTCCAGCTCCATCCATGTCGCCTCTAATGGTGTGACTTGTCTTTTTGATGGCCAAGTAGTATTCCACCATGTATAAATAAATACCACATCTTCTTTATCCACTCCTCTGTTTCTGGTCATTTAGGCTGTCTCCATATCTTAACTATTGTACATAGCACTACTCTGAACATGGCAGTGTCTTTGTATTCTTTGGATAGATAAGTAGGAGTGGAATTGCTAGATCACACAGGAGATCTATTTTTTAATATTTTGAGAAAACTCCATATTGTTTTCCATAGGGATTGAAACAGTCTACATTCCCATCAACAGTACAACAGGATTCCTTTTTTCTAGTTCCTCCCTACCATAAGCCTCACCAAGCTTACACTTTTGAAAATAAAACCAGAAAAGGAAGATGTCTTTGGGCAAAGTCTGCTGCTTCCCTGTGACCTGAACCTTTCAACCAAGGGGACATGCAGAAATGACCTGGACCTGGTGAGAAATACAACCTGGAAATGAAATATAAACAGCACCTCAAGGAGTCACTTGCTTTCCAACTCTGCACAGAGGCCGCAGCACTAGAGCTTCTTGAGAAGGCCACCCAACCGTGGGATCTGTTCCCCACTCTGCCTTTGGTGACACCGCGCTGGAAGCATGAAATCGCCTGTGGAAACTGGCAAATGCTACAACGAGGCAATGTTCTCCAGTTGCCAGCACAGAGCGCTGGGCAGGTGCCATGACTACAGCAGCAGGGGTGGAGGGCCTGGACCAGAATTCAGCCGGGACAAAGCCAACAAGAGTCCCTCTTCTTTGTCAACTTTATTTTATTAAAATATATAGGACTGAATACCAGTGGGTGATGAGAACAGGAACCACCCTCCCAGGCCAGCCGCAAGGGAGACGCTTCTGCCATGCAGACATGCGGCCAGTCTGCGTCCCGGGGCGGGTGATGGGCCCCCGCGGGTTGGACAAGCAGCCCGTCTGGCCTGTGGACAAGGGGGCAGGACATGGCAGAGAATCTCCCTATGGCCTTGGCCCCTTAGAAGCCGAGCTACACCAGCTGGGAGAGCTGGGCGGGGAAGTGGGGGAGAAGATCCCTGAGCCAGGGAAAGCTGATGCCCTCCTGAAAGAGGGGACAGGGACCCCCAAGTCAGACTGAAGATGGGGTGTCAGTGCAACTCCGATGGGGGGACCCAGGTGAGTGCAAAGAGTCCCCATGGCCGAGGCAAGCCCATCTCCACGGCCTCCACCCTCCTGCCTTTCCTCAAGGGCCCTGCTCACCCCGGGCCGGGCCTGGGCAGAGACGGGTGGCAGACGATGGAATGTATCATGTGGGAATGTTCCTCGGAAGGGCCTGTGCTGCCTGGGACTGGTTCCCTCTTGGGGAGGCCTGGGTGGAGGGAGCAGCATTCTGGCCCTCCCGGAGGCCTCTGTTGACCCTGGGCCCTCACTGCTGGCTCCTGGCTGCAGGCTGATACGGGCCTTTATCCCCAGAGCAGAACCAATCTAAGCGGAGCCCCGGGGTTTGTGCTTTTGAATGTTGGTGAGCTGGGCTGGGCTGGGGCTGGGCTTTGAGCCCCCGATGCTCTGAGGTACAGAACTGCACTCCCAATTCTTTGTGGGCTGTCCATACAGGGACTGCTGGGCCACCAAGATGGCGTTATCTCAAAACAGCAGTGTTCCTTGGCGCCCCTCATGAGTTGCATTCTGAGCTTGTGCTTTTTTGTCTGGAGTTGGGGTGAGCCTATGCAGAGGGGCCCACGCTGTTTTGGGAGGGGAGGCTCAGTGAAATGCTGGGCCAAGGGAAGCGAGCGCAGAGCACGAGGGATGGGAGGACCCCTTCCCAGGTCTATGCCACCTGCTCTCCACGCAGCCAGTCCCTGAACCAGCCTTGGCCTTTCCTTAGGACCTGTGATGGCCTTGGGAGGGGGGAGCAGTCTAGTGCTTGAGGGGTGCAACCCCACTCCCTGCATCCCCACCGAGTGAGAGGCTGGGACAAGCCACAGCTCCTCCCTCCCAGTGGAGGGGGTAGAGAGATAGTTTTCCTCCCATCAAGAATCCCAATCCCCAAACTTGAGAGGCTCTTCCCGGGCTAGAGGGGCATGGAGCCCCGTGGCCTTACACCACCAGAGCTGGCCCTGCCCCCTGGCATGGCAGGCATCCTGGGCCCCAGGGAAACATTTCCAGGAAGCTCCACCTGTTTCCTACTGCAAACTCCCTTGGCCCCCAACTGCGCCTCCAGCATGATGGGAGTGTGGTCAGTGGGTAGGGAATGACGGAGCGGGGGGACAAGGCGGTCAGAGAGGCCCCAGAACCTGGCCCAGATGTGTCTGAAAGGGGGTGGCAGGGGAGGCGCGGGGGCTCTCACAAGCTGAGCCTTTGTTCTGTAGACTGGACTGTCCTTTAAGAGGCAGGGGGCTTGACACTGTGCTGCCCGCAGGGCCTGCAGACATTGCACTGGCAGCCCCACCCCAGAGGCAGGCTTGCCCTGCTGGCCTGGACGAGCAGTGGTGGAAGGGGGGGCTCTTGTCGCCAGGACCCAGCTCCCAGCCCACTCAGTCCCTCCCTGAACTCTGTTCCCCTCTACCAGCCCAGAGTGGTGGTGATGGTGGTCGTGGTGATGGGTGTGTGTGTGTGTCTGGAGCAAACTGTTCACTTTTTGCAAATATATTAGAAAAAAGTTTCTCATGGAGGCTACTCCTGGCAGGATTGAGGTTTCTTTGGGGCCAGAGGTGGCAATGCCACTTAGAGATCCCCCACATGTCCTAGATGACATTCTCGAACAGCTGCATGGAGCTCATGATGTTCTCATCCTGCATGGAGAGAAGGACCAGAGGCTTGGTCAGGCCCTAGGTGGGCCAGTGGGGTAGGGTCCAATCCAATCCCCCCTGAGCAGATTCTCGCTGGGGACACGGAGCCCTGCAATGGTGACTCTGTGTCACAGGTGGATGGGCACAGCCTTCTTCAGACCACAGCCTGATATAAGCCTGCCTCATCCATTACTGATGGATGAGCCTCCCGGGTGCAGGCTGGGCAGCAGGAGACAGCTCTGGGAGAGACGGGCTGCTGAGGCTGGTCGAGGACTACTGTCCTGTTCCTACTCTGGGGCCTGCTGGTGGGGAGGGGCCAGGGACTGCCAGGTGCAGGACATGGGTGGTCTCGACTCCCAGTGTCGCCTACCTTCTGACAGGTCTCCAGGAACTCATCAATGGTCACCACCCCGTCCTGATTTCGGTCCATTTTCTGTAATCCAAGCAACATCCTCAGTGAGTCTCCCACCAGGCAGTGCCCCTATCCAGGCCCGAAAAGATGGCAGTGGGTGATGGGTTCCCTCCACCCTGACCTGTCCCCTCTGTCTCCTACTTGGATCCAGGCCACATAAAGCACCTCCCCAGCTGCCTCCAACCCAGAGCTGACCTTTCTGGCATCTTCCAGTGTGCCCCTACCCCCAGCGGCTTCTGGGATGGCCTCCTGGGCTTACGCTCCCCAGGACGCATCCCATGCTCATCCCACGGCAGATGGAGCAACTGAGGTACAAGAGGGCTACAGAGCAAAATCACCCAACCCCATTTCTCGCACACAGTGTCCCCGGGGGGGTTGAAATGCTCTTCGAAGCACCAGGACACTGGCCCAGGGGAGTCAGCCGTCTTGGAATCCGTGATCCCGCTTGCCTGAGATTAGCTTCATGGATCAGAGAATAGGGGTGCTCTTTATGCGCCTGCTCAGGATCCTGCAAGCAGCCGGGTGGAAGATGCACGTTGAACCTCCTCATGAAGGGACTCGGAGGGGGCTGTGGTTTGCTCTGAGTTGCCCAGGAGCAGAAGCCCTTTCCTCTTCCAGCTATCCTCCCCTCACTGCCTGATCGGAGCGCTCACCTGGAAGAACCTCTCCACATGCTCCAGAGGTGCGTCCTCCCGCAGGATGGGGTAGGTGTGGCGGCCCATCATGTCATAGATGGACTTCATGATGGCCAGCATCTCCTGGGGGCCAGAGGGGCTGGCATGAGCTTAGCTGCAAGGATGTGGGGGGCGGGTGCAAGGGTCTGAGGGGAAGGAGCTGAGTCAATGGAAAGAGGGCACCCCCAATTCCAGGGTCATGGTGAGTCAGTGGGAGGGGCCCGCGAGCTAGAGAGTGGACTTGCCCCCCTCAGGTACGTCCCACAAGAGCTTGACTCCAAGAGAAGCTGGAGACAGATTTTTACATGCAATCTCCAAAAACTGAAACCATAACAACTACTTCATATACCAAAAAAATGTTTAGGTCAAACAAAACCTGACTGTGGGTCAGGACCCCCTCTGTGCCCCTTCTTAAAGGCCCTCACTACCCCTCTCCACTTGTGCCAGCCAAGGCCCAGCCCAAGCTCTCCTGTTAGATGACCCCAGGATGTGCAAACAAGTGGGAGGCAGGTGGTGAGGGGCATAAGCCCCACGTTTCCCGCTTCCCGCACCCAGGTGTCTAGGGCTGAACCCCGAGGGGATGATGGCTGCTCTCCCAGGGCCAGGCTGCAGCCACATCCCTGCGCTGGGGCCGCAGGAGAGAGGAGGAGCGGAGAGAAGTTGGGGCTGTGGAGAAGCGGCTTGAGGGCCGCTGGGCGTCCCTCCCCTCAGCCAACCCTACCTCTTTGGTGATGTAACCATCCTTGTTGATGTCGTAGAGGTTAAAGGCCCACTTAAGCTTCTCGTGGACTGTTCCCCGAAGAAGGATAGAGAGGCCGACCACAAAGTCCTGTGGGGGAAGGAGGATGGGAGTGGCGAGCCCACGCCTAGTTTGTTTCCAGTTGGCCGTGTGGCTTCCCCTGAAACTCACAGACCTCTAGATGAGGGGCCTCCGTGACAGATCGGCAGGCCGCGTCCATCAGGTGGGCCAGCGTGAGCGCGCATGTGCGTGTGTGTGGGCGTGTGTATGTGTGTGGTGGGGGCGGCATGGTTACTGGGAGTGATCTCAAAAAAAGACACTCAATCTTTGGTGTTGTAGATCTGTTGCGCCTAGTAAAGAAGACCTGGGGTGCTCTGTAAGATAGGGGGGTGCTCTACATTCAGTTTAACCAAGTACCTGCATGTCAAGGTGCTGGAAAATTTGATCTTAAAATCCAAGCTAAAAGTACTCAACCCTGGGCCATGACATTCAGTGCATTGCCATCACTTCTGAAGTGTTCCAGGTAACTTCTTGCTAATGTGATAAGACACGCATGATCACCTAGCCTGCATGTGGGAACTTCTGCTGTTTTGACATGGCAGAAAGCAGGTCTCTGTCACTGCCCCAGGTTTGAAGGACAAGCCCTTCCTGCCCCATGGGGGTCCTGCCCCGACCCCCTCCTGGAGGAGTGGGGGAGGAGGGCAGCAGACTGAAGAAGGCCAGTGTCTGTACCAAGAGGCTCAGCCCCCACTCAAATTTTAGATTTTCTGGGTCTGAGAGACGTCTAAGAGAAACAGAGAAAAACAATTTGGAAAAATATAAATTACTCCAGGAATCCTGCATCCCTAAAATAAGAATAGAATGGTATAAAAAAGAAACACTTGAGGACAAGAAAGCACTATTGGGAATTAACAACAAGAAAGCAAAATGACAGACTCAGAAGTGGGGTTGGAAGAGCAAGTGGAATCTTCTGGAAAGAAGCAGAAAAGGCAAAGAGCTGGAAAATAGAGAAAAGAAAACAATGAGAGACCCATTCCAGAGAGACCAACCCCGAATAGCAGATGTTCCAGGAAGAATCAAAGGAAATGAAGAAAATCACGTCAACGAAGCAATGAAAGAATTCCCAGCATGGAGGGCTGGCGTTCAGGTCAGCTGCGTCTAGCACAGTATTAGGGAACAGCCGCAAGGCAGATATGATAATGGCATTTCCAAAACTGGAATGCAAAGGAGGAATCTTTCCGACAGAAAAACCAAACCGAACCCAACAAACCACATTGGTCACACGAGGTCAGGAATCAGCGTTTTCCCTTTGCCAGCAACACTGAAGACAAGCGGTCAGTGGGCAGCTGCCACCATTTGGAAGAGGAGCAACTTCCCAGCACGGCTCTGTTCACATGCAGTAGGTCCAGCAAGCATGAGGACAGGAGGAAGACACCCACAGGCTCAAAAGTTACCTCCCAGGGACTCGTTGGCAGGAAGCTACTGGAAGACATGTGCTTGGAAAGAGAGTAAAGTAAGAAAGAGGAAGAGGAGGAAGCCTCGAACCAGGAGGGCCAGACCACGAGCGAGGGGATGAGGTCTCCAGAGGACAGTCCGTCCTGATGGCGACAGAATCAGTTGAAGGGGAAGTATCCATTCCACGACTGGTGGAGGTCTGTGGTTGAATTACGGATGAAATCACAGCGATTGAGCAAATGAAAAATCAGAACACTTGTTACCTGTAGGCAAAATACAAATGAATGCAGGAACAGAAAGCACAGTCAGAGTTTACCCAAGGCTCAGCTGGGAATCAAATTTGCATGATGGGGTAAACTGAGAGTCCTGGCTCATTTGAATCCTACAGTTCTTCAGAAAGCCAAGATATGCGCAATGGGTGTGTGTGTGAGACCCAAGCGCCCGCAGAGGGAGCCGGTAGGCAGCCTCTAAAACTGGACTCTCAGAAAGGAGCACAGAAGCGGGCATTGGGTGACACAGGACAATCAGCAGAACGAAGAGAAGGCGGTGGCCTCCACAAGCCTGGCAGGTGGTTAGCTGCTGTTTTTTCCAAAGTACACCCTGTAAATCTATTGCTCTCCTTCAGTTATATGTGTGCACAGTGAAGACAATGAGAACATGTGAGGAGAAACAAGAGCTTGAGAACTGATAATCACTGAAGGGTGTGCGTGAGTCATGAAAGCGAAGTGTCAAAGCATCCCTGAAATCATGTCACCCCTCTTCCCTGGGGGCCAACTGACTTTCCCAGTGGGGTCAAAGGCAAGGAGTTCTGTTCTGGGCAACAGGAACTGTAGTCCTATGAATGCCCCTTCTTGGGTGTGCAGAGCATTCTCCCCCATCCAGCATGGCAGCTGTGACGCTCTGCCACACTGAAGGGTGTCCCCTTCCCCTGTCCCATAGGGGCATGCGATGTAGTTCTGATGGCACTAGGTGAAAGGTGGGTGGGAATGTCCTATTCAAGGCCACTGTGTCCTCCACAGCACACAGATGTCCAGCCAGCTGGGTCTGACCACAGACAGCACAGTTCCAGGAGAGCATTGTTATAACTCTTTGCTCTTAACTCTTGTGTGGACAAAGCCTGTCACACACCCACAACCCCTGGAGGCCGGGGGGGGGGTGCTCCAGGGAGGGGGTTCTTCAGTAATACAGCAACACAAGGAAGTCTTGGTTCTAGGCTGAGCTGCCCCAGACTGCACACGGGGGAGCCCAGAACAGCAGAGCCTGAGCTGAGCCAGCAGGGATGAGTGGAGGGGATGATGGGGCCCTGGGGTGGAGGGGAGCATTCCTCAGGTGACTGCTGTCACACAGACTTGGCCAGACATAAGGAGCCACCCCTGCAGGGGGTGGGGGAGAGGCAGCCTCACCTTCCTCCAGACAAACCCCTGGAGAGCGGGGCCAACACCCCCTGCAGCTCGCCTGAGCGGGGCGACTTTGTCCCGAGTGCTTGTCTCTCAAGAACACACAAAAAAAGGACTGCAATTGTTGTAGACCAACCTGACTGGCTTAAGGTGCACTGAAAGGTGCTGTCTGAAGAAGTGAGCAGGACTGAGAGTCCCCCCACCATGGACCCTTTCTGTCAGCGGGGATCCCAACCCAGGATCAGGCCCTGCTGGGTGGGAGGCCCTGGGGAGAGCTGTGCCTGCCCCCTCCCTGGTAAAGCCTTCTTGGAGCAGAGCACCTAAGACGGCCCTCAAGGAAAACAAGCACCCACACAAAAGCAAAGGAATGAATTCCACATTCTCAGAGGCACATGGAGGACAGGTTCAAAGAAAGGGCCTAGCAGAGAGGCTTGGGCACCAGCACCCCCCAACTCAGTCCTGATGCAATCCCCACAAGGACTGTGCTCTTGCTCGGACCACCAATGCCCTCCCTAGAGGAGAGAGAGAGAGGTGATATCTGCTACAAGCAAGGCTCCTGATTCCACCTGATTTCTGGTCCAGAAAAACCATCCAGCAAAGCCCTGGCTGGGTCATTACCCTAGTTCCTCCTCACACTTGATCCCCAGAAGTCTCAGGTGCCGCTTAAAGGACACACAAGAAAATGGTCACCCGGGGAGGCTGGAGACAACTCTCCCTGGCCTCTCCTTTGCACTGACTGAACTTTTGCTGTCCGCAGGGACTACTGCAAACAAAGACGAAAACACCGTCGTTCGCATACCGGTGTGGGCTGAGGAGGTGGGGCCTGGTGGTGGCCCAGCACACGTGGCCGGCTGGTCTGAGGGTCAGTGGGCAGGCTGGCGGCCGCATGAAACACATGAAACAGCCGGAGCAGCATTACCGCGAGTTATTATTACACCGGCTTGGTGTGGGGGCCCTCTGCGGGGCCGGCCAAGGCTCCGCAGCTTTCCTGTCAGCGCCCTTGGCCCTGGAAGCCGCGCGGGGGTGGTTATCGATCAAGCCCGGCTCTCAGCAAGGTTTTCCTCTTCGAAGAGGTTTCAGCTTTTCGCCTGCAGCTATTTTTAGGGGCTTGGGCTCCACAGATGGGGCCTCTATCAAATGATCCCCTGTGGCCAGGCCTGGGTAGAGCCCACAGTGCAGCCTGCACAGAGCCCCGGCAGGGAGGGGGGAGCAGCTGCTCTTCCTTGACAAGGACCAACGACCAGGCTGTCCTCACAGTGTCCAGCGAGGGTGCCCCTGGAGTCCACTCAGGCTGGGGAGCCACCCCCCCGTGTTCTGGCGGGGCAGGGCATTCTAGGCCTAGGTGTCTGGACCCTGCCAGCAACACAGACCTCTGTGCCAGACCTTGCCCTCTTCTCAATATAAACTCACATGGGTCCCTGCCACCTCAGTGGGCCTGAGAAGCTCCCCTGGCTGGGTGGGGTTGGAACAGAAGAAAAGGCCAAGCTTAGGGCAGCCAGACAGCGAAATCAAATTTCCCTGACTTCACAGTCAGGCCCAGGGCCAGCCAAGCACAGGCCATTCATCCCCCCAGGGATATGCTGGACCATTTACCATCAGGATCATGTCTGAGTCTCTGGAAAGCACCACGATGACGGTGAAGGTGCACCAGAGCAGGAAGACCCCACAACCTCACCCCCCCACCCCCATCATGCAAGCTGCAGGGGAGAGGACAGAACAGGTCACCAGGGACCTACCTCGAAGTGGATGGCCCCATTCCCATCAGCGTCGAAGGCATTGAAGAGGAAGTGGGCGTAGGTGGTGGCATCTGGGGATAGCAAGGGTGAGGGTTGTTGGGGCTCCTGGACCCCCCAGGTAGCCCCACCAGGTACCAGCTGCGTTCTGGGCTGGAGTTTGTCTTTCCAACAGGACAGAGGCAGGACCATGTCTCCAGAAGACGAGGCATGGTTGGAAGGGTAGGGGTGCAGGTGAGGGGGCCCTCCCTATTAAAGGGACACCCACCCTCTGCAGAGCTGGTGTAGGGATGAAGTGGGGGCCTTGGAAAGAAGTCAGGGGGCCATGGACTCACCTCCCTGAGGGAAGAACTGTGAGTAAATGAGTTTGAAGGTGTCTTCATCCACCAGGCCTGTGGGACACTCCTGCAGCAGGAAGTCACTCCTCTCAGCAACCTCTGCCTCCCAGCCCCACACCCCGACGCCTCAGGGCTTGTTTTCCCTCCCCCTAGGCCCATCCCATCTCTCTCCTCTGCTGGGCAAATCCTGTAGGTGGGGCAGAGTGTGTCGGGTGGGAGAAGAGAGGCCCAGTCCCTTTATGCCAGGCAGGAGCCTCCACACACATGTCCCTGCACCAGCAGCAAGCCCCCCTGTACCAGGGAGCTTCAGATACTGACTCTGGGTTGTGGCTCCCAGACACCACCCCCCACCCCACCACAGCTGTTCCACAAAATATGAGGCTCCTTGATGCTCTGGAGAAGATTCCAGGTCTCCCTCTTTCCTGGAGCCCAGACTGGGCGGGGAGGGTCAGGGTCCCTCCCAAGAGAATGGGGAGCACTCACATTCTTGAAGCCCCTGTAGAGGGACTGCAGCTCCTTTTTGGTGAATTTGGTCTGTGCTTGCAGCTGGTCCAGTCCCTCTGGTTGGTGACGTACTGTGGACAGCTCCAGCTCACTGTCGCTGCTGTCTGGAGGGAGACACAGATCCGAGAGGTGGGCACCCCTCTCCATCTAGCTCTAGTGTGGGCACCAGGGCATGAGGGTGTGAAAGGACCATGTGTGCCCACTCCAGCTGTGCAGGGCACAATGGCGGGGTAAAGTGGAACAGCACACCTTGAGCCATGCCTCATGGCCTCCCTCTTCCTCAAACAGAGCTGGCCCTTCCCACTCACCTCACCTTGAGCGTGTCGTGGGTGCCCACCCATCCACAGGGTGGGGTGAGGGGTAGAGGCTGGGCTTATCCTGGAGAAATGCTGAACCAAGAAAGCTGATGGAAAGGGAAAAGAGCAAGGCAGGCTAAATGGATCCTGGGTCTTTAAGACTGATGCCTGCCACCTCCTCCTAGCAGCCCTCCATGACTTCCCCCAACAACAAGGAAGGCACTTCTTTCGGCCCCTTATTGCCTGGTGCTTCTGCTGGGTGATATTTGGTATGGGGGTGTTACTCCCATTTGGACAGGTCAGGCCTTAGGGGTCCTAGAGCAGGACCTTTTAAGAACACATCAAAATGTTAACTAACCATGGCAACTTTGGGAGTGGGAAGAGGAGAAGGGATTCCAAGTGACCTTTACTTTTTTTTTTTTAAGATTTATTTATTTATGCATACAGAACTGGGGTACAGGCCAGAGGTGCAGGGGCAGTGAGAGGATTCACCAGAGACAGATTGAGGAGCAGAACAGGCTGACCAACGAAGTACACTGCTGAGGAGAACAGTGGGCGGGTCAGGAGAGGTCTGCCATGCCATGTGGTCACCTCCGGGGTGGTGATCGAACTCATGCTGAAGTAGCTTTAGCTTCTTAGCGCTGTGCTTTAACCCGCTGCGCCACCAGGGAGGGCCCGTGACCTTTACTTTTTTATAATTTTTCTTTTTCTGTCTTCCTAATTTTGCTTGGTGGCACGCATCACTTTTGTAATACAGTAAGTCCCCGTTTCATCTTGTGGCTAGGTTCTTGGAAATAGAGACTTTAGGCCTACAGAGAGGCCTGGTCCATGAATAGCAGATTATTTTCTCTTCAATGTTATAATGAAACAATATTGCTTAGAGGACTTGCTATATAAAATAAAGCTAGGCACTGAATATCTACTCCTTGCTGAAGAACATAATCGGGTAATTATAGAACTTTCCACAGAAATGGGAAGCGAAATGCCTGTTGACTGTCCCCTCCCTAAGCTCCCCTCTGCCTGGGGAGCTTTCACACCTGTGAAAGGTGAGTCCCTGGTGATCTGCAGAGCCTTTGCTGGCACCACCACGCGGGGCAAGCTGGGAGGCGGCTTCTCTGCCCTGCCCACCCGGTGCCCCCCGAGTCGGGCACAGAGCACTGCTAACCTGAGTCTGCCGAGCCCTGGGCTAGGACTGCTTCGTGCCTGGGTCTCTCCTTAGGCGCTGCCCACTCACTGACCTCAGTGCCCTGAGCACCGCCAGCAGTCAGCCTCTGTTGCCTTGGTCCACATGCACGCTGTCTCCAGTAGCTATTTCACATCTCCCTCTCTTTAAACTTCCAGACCCTCCTCCCTCCTCCTCACCATCGGCTGCTCCCCACTTCACCGATAAAACGGAAACCACAGGAGAATGTCCCCAAGTTCCGATCACCACACCTGCCACCTACCTGCATGACTTCCTCTGCTCCTCAGAGAGTGCGCCATCCTGCCCCTGGTGGGACCCTCCACTTGGCAGAGACCCTCTCACCCACTCAAGCGTGGGGCTGCCACAGTTCCCCTCTCTCCTCATCATCTTGCTTCCCGCCTTCCTGGACGACTCCCATCGCCATATGGAAAACACTGACAATCCTCCCTCAGGTTAAGTATACGCAGACCTTGCAAACCAACAACTCCACTCCAGGTAAACGTCACAAACAGAATCTTATCCAAGGGGAACTGTGCACAGATGCTTGTGGCGAACGGAGTTAATGGGGGAACTGGAGGCGTCCTAGGGACCCATCACAAGCAGGATGGGTGGGCACAATATGGGAGATGCACATCAAGGAGAAATGTGCAGCGGATTAGAGGCGCCCACAGCAGCATGGATGGATGTTAAAAATAAGATGCTCGATGAGAGGCACACATGTTAGACTGAATAAAACAGCAAGACCCAACTAAATGCTACTTATAAAAAGGATCCTTTTAATAAAAGGCACAGACAGATTTGGACAAAGGATAAAGAGACCTGGTATGACTATATTAATAATAAAAAATATAGTAGGGAGGACAATCATTTTAGTGATATAAAGGATCAGTGATTGGCCCTCCCTGGTGGCGCAGCGGGTTAAAGCACAGCACTAAGAAGCTTAAGCCACTTCCGCATGGGTTCGATCCCTGCCTGCCCTGGAGGGGACCACATGGTGTGGCAGACCTCTCCTGACCCGCCCACTGCTCCCCTCAGCAGTGTACTTTGATCATCTGCCGGTTCTGCTCCCCACTCTGTCCCTGGTGAGCCTCTCACCCTCCGCATCTCTGGCTTATACTCTAGTTCTGTATGAATAAATAAATAAATCTTAAAAAAAAAAAAGGACCAGTGATTTAGTGATATAAGGATTAATTCATTAAGAAAATGGAATAATCTGTTATACAACATGGTAACAACTTTAAAATAGTTGAAGTGGAAAAAATTCAAAACTAAGGGGAAAAGAAGATAAATCACAGTCATATTTGAAGATTTAAATATCATTTCCCAGTAAATGATAGGTATAAAGGTAAGAAAAATTGAAAAACACTATCAATTTATTTGACCCAATTAATATTTGTAGAACATTATGTCCAACAACTCTGTAATACATATTCCTTTCAAAAGTAAATCCTGTGGTTACCAAGATATGCCAGATGCTGGAACATAAAACAAGACTCTGATTTTAATGGAACTAACTTAAAATCCAAGGCACCAAGATATTCAGAAAATATCAAATATTTGGAAATGAAGCAACATATTTCTACTTAAGCTGTAATACAGAGGAGAAATTACAAGAGCGTTTTGAAGTGTTTTGTATTAAATGATAATGAAAGCATAGCATAACAAACTTTTCTGAGTGCAGGTTAAGCTCTGTTTAGAGGAAAATTTACAGCTTTAAATTCTTTTGTTAACAAAGATGGGTCTTGGCCCTCCCTGGTGGCGCAGCGGGTTAAAGCACTGCACTAAGAAGCTTAAGCCACTTCCGCATGTGTTCGATCCCCGCCTGCCCCGAGGAGACCACATGGCGCAGCAGACCTCTCCTGACCCGCCCGCTGCTCCCCTCATCAGTGTACTTCGTCGATCTGCTCCCCGCTCTGTCCCTGGTGAATCCTCTCACCCTCCGCATCTCTGGCCTGTACCCCAGTTCTGTATGAATAAATAAATCTTTTTTAAAAAATGGGTCTCTAGTCAATGATATGAGCTTCTAGAGCAAAGCTTTTCACAATCTAGATAAACTCAAAGTTATTAGAAGAAAAACGAAAATAAATGTAAAAGTCAATGAAAAATTAAAGCTATCAGAGAACAATCAACAAAGTCATTAAAAAACCCAACAGAGGGCCCTCCCTCGTGGCGCAGCGGGTTAAAGCGCAGCATTGAGAATCTAAAGCCACTTCCGTATGAGTTCGATTCCCGCCTGCCCCGGAGGTGACCGCATGGCGTGGCAAACCTCTCCTGACCCGCCCGCTGCTCCCCTCAGCAGTGTACTTCGTCCATTTGCCTGTTCTGCTCCCCACTCTGTCTTTGGTGAAGCCTCTCACAGCCCCTGAGCCTCTGGCCTGTACCCCAGTTCTGTATGCATAAATAAATAAACCTTAAAAAAAAAAAAAAACCAACAGACAAGTCATAGGCTGGAAAAATCTACCCGGAGAATGTGTGTTTGGCAAAAACATTCAGTTCTAGATATAAAATGAACACCTACTGATCAATTAGAATAAAATACCTCAATTTTCTAAATAGGAAAAAACTGAAAATACAAGGTCAATACATACAGGAGCAGACACTTGAGGGCATTAATCATAAAGAAATGCAAGTATTCTGATGCAACATACCCAGTGGCCTATCATTTCAAAAATTGTTGAAGGAAAGTATCTGTTAACCTAAAATTCTAGAATCCAGTGCTAATATCTTTCAAAAAGAATGGTCAAATAAAGGCATTTTCAAATCAATGAATGCTACAGAATTTGTCACCAGCAAAGTCCCACTGCAAGAAATGTCGCAATAAATACTTCGAATGAAGGGAAATGATATCTAATGGAAACCAAGATTTGCAGGAAAATAACAAGATACTAGCAGAAGTAATTTGAACTAAACACATATGAAAATGTTACCTATCAAAATTTATGAATGCAGCTAGTTCTTAAGGGATACTTAAAGTATTAAATGCCTATTTTAGAAATGATAAAAATATTTTAAATAAATATAAGATTCCACCTCAAGAAACTAGAAATTGTACAGCAAGTATTGCTAAGGCATGCTGAAGAAAGGAAAAAGATAAAAGCAGAAATCAATGAAACCAAAAAACCAGTAGAGAACATTAATGAAATGGAAAGTTCTTTGAAAACTTCAATAAAATTGATAAAACTCCAGTAGGTATGTAAGAGAAAGAGCGAGCAGGGTCCTCCCTGATGGTGCAACAGGTTAAAGCACAACACCATAAAGCTTGCAGCAGCCACTTCACTGGAGTTCGAGCCCTGGCCCCGGAGGTGACCCACATGGCACAGCAGATCTCTCCTTCCTGACCCACCCACTGCTCTCCTCAGCAGTGTACTTTGTCAATCTGCCTGTTCAGCTCCCTGCTGGTGAACCCTCTCACCACTCCTACACCTCTGGCTTGTACCCCAGTTCTCTATGCGTAAATAAATAAATCTTTAAAAACCCAGTTCTCTATGTGTAAATAAATAAATCTTAAAAAAAAAATAGAAAAAGAAAGAGCAAAGGCACAGGTTATCTATGTCAAGAATGAAACGATAAACTCCACAGACCTTTAGTGGGTAAGGAGGAAACATCATGAACATCATAAACACAA